GATAATAGATACCATGACACTCAGACAGTCATTCATGGCATCCCATCCCAAAGTCAGGTGCGTGTGTCTCCATATTTAACCATAAAATCAATTCTATATTCGTACCTGGAAGGATACTGCAGGAGCATCGAAAGTAATCCAAATAATACAAATCAGGGGGGGGGGTCTAGTTCGTGTACAGTATCGAAGTACCGCGGGCCATCCACAAAGATGCGTTCGTTTCGAACGTCAACTTCTCTACGTGTGATGTGGGGTTCAGAAAAGTCGCTTCCACCCTCTCTTGATCACCAAAAACCATGGACCCTGCTCCGACAGATAGTGAGCGTATCCCGCCGCGTGCTTTCTGATATTTCCACAGCAGTTTGACATGTGTAGTGTATGTTTACATTAAGACAACCCAATCTGCTGTGCTGCGGTGCATGTATGCAGACCTGCGTTTCGGATCTTTCCAGCATAGCGCAACAATATTGAACTTTGATCTCAACATGCTTATCTTCTGACGGATCAAATCGCTCCAAACCTTTTGTAAAAGATGTCAACAGTACCTGAGTGCATGGTGTTGGCGACATTTCGTTGCAACACGATAGGCTCGTGGAGAGACTGCAGCGCATCCGACCCTTACTCGGAGATTCCCGAGTTGTCCTACGGTGGTACGCCCTGAGAAAAAACTGGAAATCTACCGCTACGGACTAGCCCCGACTGTAAAACAAAGGCTGCACGGTTGACAGATAGCTACCTCACCTATCTCAGCCGGAATATCGACGCTCCCAGCCCTGCTGCGCCCTATGAAGCCGGCCGTGGGAGGCGAGGTCTTAAGTTGTTGCGCCGCAAGAATCGAGGGGTTTCAGCAGGGGATGGCTTCTCGCCCGAGGCGTTATGTCTCACACTTAGTTTTACTTTTTATCAGACGTGCAGCACTGGGTCGGCAGCAGCTACACCTTCGATATTGCTGCTCAGGTACGTACAGCACTGGTGGCAGAGCACTTCGCAGGTTGCAACATAGAGAACATCTGCTCGCCCAACCTCACGAATATCTTTCTACACCGCTTCCCAGCATAGCATAAGACTACAGTCGTGTGCACAAGATGGCCACTAAACTGTCTTGAGCCTGTATATGTCGCTGTGCGCTGCTCGGAAAACCGTAGAAACACTGGTAAGTCCTCCGCTAACGCCGTGAATTCGTGGTTAATTTATCCGAGACTCCTGACCGAGGATAGAGATGGATTCACGGTGCAACATTGAGGAGGTAGAAAAACACTCATGTACAGAATACCTACATGACACCACGTTCACTTGGATATGGTGATGCTGCAGTCGGCCTCATCATCTGCCTCCTTCAACGCCATGACTCCAGGAATGGCAGCCAACGCCTCCTATCACAGAAAACTCTTTTGATGCACTAGATTCGCAGCAACATTTACACGCGGACGAGATCACTGCTTGATCCTTCCTCTCTGGGCGCGCGGCGGGCACACTGCGGTTCAAAAACCATGATGCTTTGTCGATCTGACATAAGCCGTCTGTCCCCGCAAGACAAAGAAACCATGCTATCCCATGCGATGGTTTTTTGCCTCATGTGACGGTCTATGTGTTGGTGGCAGGTAAGTTGGGTTGTCCGCTCTCTCTCCCTCGCTCTCCCTCTCTTTCCTCTGATGTAGCCATCTTGTCGATTCTCACCGTGTCGTTCTCTCGATAGTTTTTCTCACTCGGCTCTC